TATATATATATATATATATATATAGTGAAAATAGGACCAGAAATAGAGCCATGAGAGAGATTTAAGGTTTAATGATACGAACGAGATTGAATCGAATAGCATAATAAATATTAAAATCATTTAAATATGATCTATATGACATAATAATGATATAATAATGATGTAATAATACAAATATGTGATTCAAAAAAAAAATCTCATACACATTTAATATCTTCAATGGTTGTAAATGCAAATCGTTACTAATTTATTTTATATATTCAAACATAAATAAATAAGTTAGATAAAAAATTAAATACTACTAATTAAAGAAATAAATATTATTCACCTTATAAGAAAATCTATTTTAAAATAATTAGTGCATGAGATGTAAATTTGAGAACTTTAACTTAATTATTAAACCCACATCAATTGGGAAATTTATATTAATACTATTTTTATAGCATTTTTGGTTTCCAATGCATGTACTAGGAACTCACTTGGGGTGGTGAGGCCATACAAAAATGCTTGTTTTGGTGCTTACTTGACAAATGATTATTGAATGAATCTGATATTCATTATTAAATAAAAAACATGTTAAATTTAAATTAATTAATTTAAGCTCAACATTTTTTCACTAAACTTATTAAATGAATTTATTTAGTTGCTTTATGGGGTAGCAATTTAACCAGTAGATTATAAGAAATTGATACATACATATCAAGGATGGGTGTGCATGCTTTCCCATATTCCTCTTGATTGTGCATGCAAGTAACGTGCTTGTGTCGATAATCAAATTAAAAAAGGTCTCTATCCATGCCATTTCAACATTTTAGGCACATTGAATTGATCAATTTTGTGAATGTTCAATGAGCAAGCATTCTTTTAAATGTGAACAAGACATCCCGAGTTGACTATTTGGGAAACTATATATATTTTTTGCCAACGTCATTACATTTGATCATATTGGCTTGTGGAGCATATATGAAGGTTAACAATTATATCATTATCGGCCATTCTTCTATATAATGGATCTAAGGTATATTATCATACCATGATATTAATTTATTTTCTAATTATATTGATTAAGAATTGCTAATATCACACCCACTAAATTATATATTACATACTCAATTTATGCATTGCTAATTCTAACCCCTATATCTTCTGAAAATTTTTAACCATATTTTAAAACTTCACTAATTTAAAAAAATATTGACTATTACTATGTCAAGTATGTAAAAACATACAACAACTCATCTCACTTTGAATATCCTTTGTAAATATTGTTGTAACACATATAAAAAGATATGGGTACAATACTATTGTTTGAAGAAATCCTATGATAATCAAAAGCTCTTCGATTACTCCACAATTACTTATACTAGTTAGTGCTCTATCGTACATATATTTAATAACTTAAGCATGCCTTTGTTAAAAACATTTCCAAAATACATATCAAAGCAATTCTCATAATACTTGATCATATGCCTTCAATAAACTGATATGAATGTTATTTTTATGCACTCTAAATTTTTATGTCAATTATATTAACAAAAAAAAAATCGCTTTCATGGTGGATTTTCATAGAAAAAAAATCAAATTTACTCTTCGAATCTAACATAATATTTTTCAAGTCTACAATTCAATACTTTCTCCCATAATTCTAATTTATGATTCCTAAATTTGATTTATTTACAATAAATAAATATCAAAAGATATGATGACACGATTAAACTATTTAATTCACAAAAACTATCAAAAACCCTGTTGATAATAACTTTTTTATTAAATCTTCTAAAAGAACCTAGTTAAAATGACAATTATTGATCACTTTATTAAGCAGTAAAAAATAGCTCATCAAAATTTTCTAAAAAAGCAAAAAAAAAGAGGAAGTGCTAAGCTAACCATAGTAGAATATAAATGAACAAATCACCATTTACTTAAGCTGGAACGCTGATTGAAATGCAAATGGCAAAAACACTTGAATAGGAAAGTCAATTTGTCGTAATAGTTGGCTGGATGAATTTAAACATGTGATCTTTCATTGAATAATAAGATTGATGTAAATGATTTAGGGTTATGGTTTCCTAGTGCAACTAGAATGATCAGATGCATTATCACAAAATGAAACTTAGGGTTCACATATCACAAACCACTAAATAAGTTACTAACTTATTTTCTTTAAACGCAAATAATAAATAAGAGAATTAGAGCCCAACCGATGAACAATGATTGAATAAATTCAAAGAATTAGCCAGAGAAACAAACCACACAAAATTAAGGAGAAATTGCAATTAAATTGCTACACAAAAATCCCAGTTGTGTAAATTTGAACAAAATTAGGAACACTAGTAAAACAATAGAAAAATATATCAAAGAAATTAAATCAAGAAAATAATTCAATAAAGTACGAAATTCAAGCCTCACGCTATTGCAAAGAGATGACTTCCGCTAAATTGAAGACATTCAAAGAAATCGTACATCTAACTTACAAAAACAATATTGAACACTAGAATAATTTATTCAATCAAAGACAACAAATTATATGCCTTAGATCATCTATTTACGGACTTCTTATTCTTGTGAACCTTAGCAAAAATCTAAGCTGATGTTGCACAACTGATAAAAATAAAATCAATCCCATCTTCAACAACATCATCAACAATAACAACAAGATAAGGAGTCCGCAACTGGCAATAGGCAATCTCAAGGATATGAGCAGCATTGGGAGAGATATTTAAGCAGTAAATAACAAATCTTAGAAGTAGAGAAACGGGTTAGTAAAAAAAAGAGAGGCTACATTTACAATCCAAGAGATAATTTTTTATTTTCTTCAATCTTTAACAAGGATTTTATTGTCTTCACCTCTAATGCATTTAGCACATTTATCATAGTAACAAAATAAGCCAAATACTACTACCACATTTTTTAAGGACTAGGAGTCATGTCAATTATTCTACATTCATTTGTGGCACTAGGGCAATTGACAGACAATGTGTGGTAATTTCCAGAAATACAATTTTTTTCATAACAGAAGGGAGCATTCTTGTACACAATTACACATTAAATTAAAGGAGCTTAACACTACTCTCAAACAAAATTCTCCAAACATGTAAGAACAAAATGTCATTCATTATTCTAAATGATTTATGTTCATGGTGAACAGCAAAACTAACATGTATTATCAATGGAGAACTTGTGCATTTATCTAAGCAGACATTTCAGAAAATATTTTAAAATCCAGAACACAGTTCTGCCATTAGTAATTAAAAAAATAACTGAAATAGTTGCCAAATAAACATAATTCATCCTGTTATAAGGCTTTACTTTATCAGCTACTAATATTGAACCGAAGCATTAAATTGTTTCCAGAAAAAGTCAGTTGGATTGTTAATAAGCAATGATTGCTTATCTTGAACTAAGACGTCAGCTAATGTATACAAAAATGATCGATAAACAAATATTTTGTCATAAACATTTAGGAGAAGAAACTAACCTTCTCTTCAAGTTCCATGCTTTCAAAGAACCAAGCCTGAGCTGTGAGTAGGTCAATTTGTTGCTTAACAAATACCTGTAACAAACAAACTATTTTAAAACAGCACAGTACACCAAATGTAAGAAGGATTGCGCCATAAAGAATATAATAATTATCTCAATCACTTAAAATACATTAATAAGATTTTTTGGGAAGTCCCTTTCAGGCATTGCAATATGAATGAAGATATAGATTAGTTTGAATTACAAGAAAACGGAATCTCAGGAAATTGTCTGGCGGGCCTTGCTAATTAGTTTTGTGAGGTCAAGCGGAGAATAAAATATTATAAATAGAAACAAATTCTTATAGGGAGTAGAAACAATTCCTATGAGCAAGAAAGCTTGCCTACAACCTTCATGCAATGAGGGAGAAGGGATGAGCGCACAACAAGGTATTTCGCATAAGATGGAGATTCTATGGGTAAATACTTGTGTGGCAAGAGAATGATTGTGAATATGATGTGCGAGAGAGAAAGTCATGGGCATGAACCATACAACGATGATGTGCAGGTTTTTTCTTCTTTTTTTTTTTGCTCATAAATAAGGATTTTTAGGACATTTTGATATTTGAATTTAAATTAACTTGATTTCAAATAAAATCATAATTCTATAGATAGGGGTTCCATTGCTTGAATTGAATAATACAATTACGAAAGAATTTAAAAGAACCTCCTCTTCTCAACTCTCTCTCATCTTTCTTATGATTTAATCTCTTCCATAGAAAAATCAAGGATTCCTAGTTTCTCTAACGTGATTCCCAAAAAACTCCCCATGCCTCATTCTCATACTTCTACTACATCCTAATGTTATGACCCAATTTCAAGTCTATGCTTCTCTCTCCCAAGGAAATGCTAAATTCCAAGAAGCCCTTCCTCAGTTTTCTCAAAAAATATATTGACATCATCACCCCCTAGCTCGAATCCCAGACCTACCCCCCCAGCTCGATTCCCTTTGGCCGAAGACCTTAGTCAGCCAAACACCCAACCACCAACACCGTTGTTGGCTCCCCACTCCTGGACAACCTCTCCATCGGCTTGCAGCCCAACTCCCACTGCCGCCAAACTAGCCACTGCCGACCACCTCATCTCCTCCTCTTTTTTCTTATCCCCTCTTCCTTTTCTCTTATCTTCTTTTTCCGCTTATCTTATTTTTTTTCCTCTTCCCTCAAAGCCTATTTCATCATCTTCTTCCTCAAAATCTCAAAACCCAAACCCTAATCTCTCTCACACTCACTCTTTTCCTTAAATCCCCACATTCCCTTCACAAAACCTCTTCCCTACAACTTCATACACCCTCTCTACCAAAACCCTAATATTCCTTCCACTTGTTTCCTCTAGATCTAGAGAGAGAAAATAATTAATCTCTAAATAGAGAGAGAAAGCACATTTTCTCTCTTTAAATGGAGAGAAAATATATCTCCTGTTCAACACTCTCACCTTTTTATCTCTCTAGTTGGAGAGAGAAAATACTACTCTCTCTAGAAAGAGAGAAAAACCCTATCCAAATGCCTTCTTTCTCTCTCTATAAAGAGAGGAAGTTCTCTCTCTTTCCCCCTATATCCCCAAAAAAAGGACAAGACAAAAAATATATATGCATTGCCTCCCCTTGTTATCTTGCCGTCGCCGTCCTCTCCACCATGCATTTTGAGATATAAACCCAACCGACACTAGTTTTTTTTCTTATTTCATGCAATTGAGACACGTGTGACATGAAGAGTGAAACTCGTGCATGCTTTTCTTAGCCGACGGGTGAAACTTATAGACGATTCTTGCAAGGTGTCAGGTGAGCCCCGTGTGTGCTTTTCTTAACATGACAGTGTGAAACTAAGTACCCTTGACTATTTTTCTTGAATGGTGGAGAAATACTACTGTACATGAAAACCCTAAGTACCCATGATTGTCTTTCTTGGCAGATGAGGAAACACTATAATGCATGAAAATTCTATGTACATGTGATTGCCTTTCTTGGCGGGCAAGGAAAATATTGCTATGCATAAAACCCTATGTGCCCATGATCATCTTTCTTCGCGGTGGGGAGAATATTATGATTTACACGTAGGTACATAAAGACTCATGCATTGCCTTTCTTGGATGGTGGGATTAAAAATTATGATCATAGTGTCACCCGACACCGACCATGCATGTCGTTTTCGCGTGGTGGGCAGGTTTAGCACACCCCGATGCAGCCCCCTACACGGGGATGACACACGAGTGCTGCCAAAATTTTGATCGACACGAGACTCAAATAATATTTGAACTAAATGATAAATCAACAAAATAAAATATAATTACTAAATACAAGAACAAAATTGAAATGAAAATAAGACCTATAATGAACTCATATCAGACTGAGCACTTGCCAACGATCATGAACTAAAACTTCCCCCCGAGCTCTTAAGTCGCTTGCACAAAATAAAATCCTGCAACAACACTCTCTTCAAAAGTTAAAAAGTGTGTAATGAATCAAGGAGGAGCTCCATATTTATAACCCAAAAAATAGTCATGTGTGGTGTCCACCTAAAAAAATATCCAACTATTAAGAAGCAATGAAGCTACATATTAAAATAATGTCAAGATACCATTTTGAAATCGTATTTAAAATGTATGAATAGGGCTATAAATGAACTAAGCGTTCGACAAGCTATTCAAAGTTTAGCTTGATTAAACTCTTTCATGATTATTTAGATTAAGTAATCAAACAAGCTTGAACATTTTCTTAAATAATCGATGATTTAATAAACAAGCTTGAACAACTATGTATTCTGCTCTTTTATGTTCATGAACAACATCGTCTGAAGCTCATGAACATGCTCGAAAAGAAGCTTGTTAAGAGCCCAATACAAATCTCGTTCATTAATATGCTTGCTAATGTTTGTTTCCATAGTTCATTATGAAGTTCATTCATTAAAATTATCATTTATGAGCTCGAGAAGCTATTCATTTAAAGGATGGAGAGAGCTCGATAAGCTACTTATTTAAGGCTCGTTCATTAAGAGCTCGACTTGTTCATTAATAGATCGATTAGGCTCGTTCGTTAATAGCTCGATAAGGCTCGTTCATTAATAGATCGATAAGGCTCGTTCATTAAAAGCTCGATAAGGCCCGTTTATTAATTTATAAACGAGCCACTCGTTTGGAGCTCAATAAGCACAAAACGAATCGAACATGAACTGAACACAAACCAAGCATGAATATGTAACATTTAAATGAACCAAGCTTGAACACAAACAAAAAAGCTTGAATCGAGCTCAAATCGAGCTTAAACAAATTCTTAATAAAAGAGCTCAAACATGAACGAATACATACTTGGCTTGGCTCGATTCAGTTGCAGTCCTATGTGTGAAGTTACATACTAAAAGTTAAAAGCAGAACCTGATCCCCTATTGGCAAGCAAATGACAAGGTCAAATAATGAAGTGAAAATTACCCACAAACCTCGATGATGACCGTGTTGAAAGTTAATCTCAATCGGAAGGAGACTAACATTAATATGCCCTAAAATCTCAAAAATAATTATTAAGAGGCTCTAATTTTACTAAGAGTTCAAAACTTAAGAATCATCAAAACTTAAAATGTTCAAGTTAAAAATTTATTACCTAACTTAAAATAAAAATCCATCCACCCTACACAACAGTTTGCTGAGAAAGGGTATAACTTCAACTCGCAAAGAGTGAATGCCATGTTGGGTGTATAAATAAGATTCATTTCAAATCATCTTTTGCCAGTAAAGACATTGTCTGTATTCTCTAATCAGTAATTTTCCCGTCAAATGACAAAAGTAAACGATTATGAGTGAGGCTCTCTGATCGGGTGGTTTTCCTGTCAAATGATACTACTAAATTATGGTCACAACAAAAGTCTATATGTTCCCTGATGGCTCTAAACATTTAAGTAATGAATTATAGGGTATATTTAATAAGGCACCAAACATTTTGTTAACTCAGGTGGACTCAAAGTTATCCCCTCAAACAAATATTCACCTCAAATCTACAAGATACCCTTGGACGACGCAATTCATGGCTGCCGACAAGAATCCTTCTATCACGTTAAGTCTACTACCTCCTCTGACTTAGTAGACTAGGGATCACGACAGCTCAAAACGATGGAACCAAAAGATCTTGATCAGACCCATCATCATTCTCCCATCACTCGCTTTAAGTGTGCGGTGATAAATTTCAATTTTTTAAAACCACCAAATCTAATTTTAAAATCCTAAAGTTGTTACTACTATACATTGAGCACTTAGTGTCTATCTAATGACTAACCTTAAATGAAAGTGCTATCTCATTATCAGGAGGGGTTAATCAACTATAGGTGCTTGCGCCTATGCGAAACCAGACCCCAGATCATAAAGTCCTCATAAAATGAGGGCAAAATTTATGAGTAATGTCTTATCTAAAATCCAATATGCCTGAAAATTTATCATGGAACCTAAACTCATTAAAACTCTCCTCCTCGACAAAAAAAGATGTGGAGAGGCCATGACACAAATTTTCGGAGCCCACAAAATAAGGAATCATTTTCTTTCTCTCTCTCAAGCACGTCCTCTCATTCTCGTACAAAGGATGTAATAAAACAAATCTACATAAGGAAAAGAAAGAATGATCAATATAAATTCTTCTAAAAGGCATATCATTAAATTGACATGAAATCAAATCTTCTACAACAATCTCAACCAAAATTAGTAACATAAATCATTTGCTCATTCTTATGGAACACCAACAATTATGTCAGACTGAATTAAAATCAAATGAAATATTGCAGGTCATCCCGTTACCACAAGCATGAAATCCTGTGTAATTCTTATATAATATTCATTTTTAAAAAAGTAATCCCTATAGAACAAATTTATAAAATTTACCTTTTCAATAGGTATGTCCGTTGAATTTCGCACCTTCAAATTGATAACTTTTTCATTCATGTCAGCCGATCTACCTTCAACTTTAACAGTGTTTGGAAATTTACCCTCGTATCTTCCAGATATTATCAAGGGGCATTCAATTAAAAGATCAGGAAGTTTCCAAGGATATACCTGGACAGAAATTAAAAAAAATAAATACTGCATGGATATTGTTTCTTCCTGTAAAACACATTTTAGCACAAAAAATAGAGTTTTTGTCCACAAAAATAAAGCAATGTAACATGGAGGCTAAAGAGAATCAAACGGTGGCCGAAATATTATCAATATGTAATACAGTATAAGAGATAAGAACCCTCTTATCCCTGTAGAAAATATTTCAAATTGTGCACCTCCAGGACCCAGCAAAAAAAAAAAAAACTATAGTTTTAAATGAAGGCATGCGTTGGGTGGATCTGTTTTACTTCATTAGAAATTTCTGGTGGCAAATCTTTGCTTTAAAACAGTAGCTAATAAAATATGCAAGACTAACTTATAGACAAGATTGGAAGTAAAACCAAATTTTACAAAACTTATAGCTCACATAAGAAATAGATGTCTAATTTTAAATGTTTGTCAACTAATATCTATTGCAACTTTACTAACAGAACTAAAGTGGCAAAGTTTAATAGGGACGGAAAAACAGAGTTTCCTGTCATGAGAAAATATTATGATGGCCAGATAACAAATTCTACAAAATGGCAACACTACCAGCTATTGTAGACTCCAAAAATTAGCGCAACAGCCCATCAGCATTTTTTAGGAGAATTTTAACCGGAATGTCCTAGATCAAATTTTCAAAAAGACTGATTAAATTTAAGATAGACACTAATAGAGGTGTAAACGAGTCGAGTCAAGTATTTGCCTGATCGATCTAAGCTTGTTTAGTTTTTAATGAACTCAAGCTCGACTTGTTAAAAAATTATAAGCTCGACTTGTTAAAAAATTATAAGCTCGAGCTCGTTATAAAGCTCAAGTTTGACTCGATTGTTGAGCTCAATCCTTTAATTTTAAATTTCATTTTTTTAGTTCTTTCAAGAATTTTTACTTTTAATATAAAATTAATTTAAAAAAGTTAAAATATATTATATAATGCTAATTTAAATTATTTTTTAAATATATTTTAAATTAATTGAGTGGCTAAACAAGCTTGCGAGACGAGCCAGGTTTATAGCTTGAGCTTGAGTTCGTTTAATATACGAGCTTGAGTATAGGCTCGAGCTCGAACCCATGGCTCAATAAGCTCGACTTGTGAGCTCGTTAATGAGTCGAACTTGAGCCAGCTTAGCTTACTTATACCCCTAGACGCTACCCAGATATTTCATCCTTATTTTGTGATGACTTTATGATTTGGTCCTAGGTTTCCAATAGGCACAAATCCCTAAGGTTAATTATCCCTCTCGATCAAGAAAGAGAACTTTTGATTAAGGCCGGTAGTTAGATAGATACTAAACACTCAATCTATAATAACAACAATTTTAGGGTTTGGATTTGGGGTTTTTAGGGTTTGAAAGTATGCTTCAAGCAGACGGTGGGAGAATGATGACTAACCCGATTAAGATCTCACAGCTCCATCGCCTCAGACTGTCGTGATCCCTAGTATTCTAAGTTATAGTAGGTTGTCAACCAACCTGACCGAAAGATTCTTATCCAAAGCCATAAGCTGCTTCATTTAAGGATATTTTGCAGACTTAGGGTGCATGTTTGCTTTAGGGAATAAATTTGAGAACACCTTAGCTAACAGAGGACTTTGTACACTATCAAATATATCATATAATTAATTACTCAAGGGTTTTAAGTCATTAAAGAGGGATCATATGAGCCCTGACAATGATTGTAATTACTCAAGGGTTTTAAGTCATATGATTCCTGACTCCACATGTATTATTCCTCTTCTCATAAAATTTTGTAAGTTACAAGGTGCCCTTGTGTAGTGTTTTATTTATGTCCTAAGGAAGTGTTGTCTTGTATGTTATAAGTGTTGTTGTGTCTTATGAGTTACAGCATCGTTGTGTCATGTTTGTAGTTTACAGTGATCTATAAAAGGTGTCTTTAAATTTACAATCTTAGTGTCATTGTTTATCTATGTTGAAAGAAAGGAAGATTTGTGTCTTTGCAATAAATTTTTTGTTGCATCATGTATGAGTAGGGGGTCAAAAATGACTTGTCCTGCCAACTCAACCTGTTGGGTTGCCCCGTTCAATAAACGGGTCAGATTCGAGTTGTATTTAAATGGATTATGTTCGGGTTGACCCACGACTCATTGTTTACCTAAAATGGCCCGTTTAATGTTTTTTTATTTATTTTACAGGTAGGTATAATCTTTTTATTTTTTATCAAATATGCTAAATTTGTAGTTAATAAGTTATTTAAAAAATTTAACCAAAATGGATTAATAGGTCGGGTTCGAGTTGATTGGATTTGGGTCAGGTCAATTTTGGGTTAGACCAAAACTTCACCCGTCAACTCGTTTTGACACCGCTATGCAAGAGGCATCTAAGGGGGGAGTTGTTGCTACTTTTTCGTGTGAGGTGAGTTATTAGGTTTGAGGGAATTTAGTTTTAGGCTTTTTTTATTTTATTTTATTATGTTTTAAAAGGACATAATCTATTCTTTTGCTTTCAGCAAAAGGGCAAGGTACATTATACGACAACATTGCAAAATTTATCTTTTTAATTATTTTTAAAAAATTTAAATTATTTTAAATATAAATATTAAATTTAAAAAATAAAATTTAACCTACTAATTTTTTAAGAATATTTATTTTGCATGCATATCAATTAACTCGCAGAAAATTTTTATCATTACATGTCGAATTTGTCTCATTTCTTGTGCATGAATGAAAAAACTCGCTATTTTTCTTTTCCGAGTACTTAGCCAATATGGGTATCTTTTTACAAACAGAGGTCGTTCAAGCAACTTTGCATGATGTCACCCACGTGATTCGTCATTTTCAACCGCTTTCGCTAGAGTTGATTGTGAAAGGCCTTTCTTGGGTAATTTGGACATTTTAAACATAGCGGTGCAGTCCGTTTCTGATGTAGAACGGGGAGGTGGCTTTGCTAGGGAGAAGAAAGAATTTGGAAATTCTCAGATTTTCTTCCCAAAATCAGCTTTAGAAATCTTGGACAGCAGTTCTCCAACTTTTAGGATTTCTGGGCAGCAATCCCACTTAGAAAAAATATCAAGCTTACGTGATCAATTGGAGGAAAGGAAGTGGTGTAAGGGATTGAGAGTTTCCTTGCTGTTCTCTCCTTCTCTAGAGTTAATTTTGAGAGTTATGAGAGGGAGGTGGGCAGTTAGAGAGAGGGGAGGTAAGAGCAGGCCGGCTACATGAGGGAAGGAGGGAACAACGGAAGGGTTTGATTGCGAAAAATCTGAGAGATACGGAGACGGACTCAACTTCCAAATGTCGTTTCCAAAAATCTGAAAGTGATCTCAGATTTTCTCCAGTAATCTGGAAGAAATTTCAGATTATGAAAAGTAAAAATAGGAGCTTGGAAGAAGAGAACTCAAGGCTTCAAAGTGCTTGGCTTAGGTAGAGGGAGAGAGGTGATTGGAGAGAGAGGGAGGGGTGTCAAGCTGAGACGGGAAAGAAGCTGGGTGGCGGGTTGATAAACGGTGGGGAAGGAATTGGATTTCCTAAGTAAATTTCTTAAATTAGGAAACCAAATGAATTAAGACAGGTAATGGAAATCTCGGCTGAGTGATGGAGGGGAGATTTGGTAATATTCTAAAGGGGAATAGGAGTCAATTAGGAAATCAATCCTAATTGGCCATATAAGGGGCCGGCAACAAGCACAAGCTATGTGGAATTTAATTAGGCTAATTAAGACTTCTTAATTTGGTTTGAAAAGATTAGGAAAGAGAATAATTCACTCCAATTTAAATTTCAAATTCAAATGGATGTAAATTAAGAACTTTCCTAAAATAGAATAATCAAATTAGAAAAGAATTTGAAATTTGAATTTGAATAATTTCAAATTCAAATTAATTCCCTAAATTAACCCAACCAAACTAGTAAATCCCAAAGAGGGTGGGAGGAGGAGCTCGGCCGGCGGCTAATGAGGTGGAGGTGAATCCGGCGGCCAAACGAAGATGGGGAGGAGGAAGAAGATGAATATGACTACTAGGAGCAATAAAAAAGAACAAAAACAGAGAAACAAAATATCAAAGATACAACCGCGAGCCCGGACACATCCTGCGGCTGACGGATACTACGTTGCCCTTCTGCAAGGGACTTCACGCCACGAGCCCGGACCCATCCTGCGGCTGGTGGAAATTCCAACTCCCTCCCATAGGGATTTCACTAACGTTCTTCCCAAAGAACCCAAGTGCAAAACACAAATTTTTTTTATTATAATTCCATCATGTTCTAATACAAGAGCAAATGCCTCTATATATAGGTCTTAAAAGAAACTAAAAGACAATTTTGCCCCTTGGGCTTACATAAAACAAATCCCTTAAGGGTAAAAAAGAAAAATGCATAATTAAATAAAAAATTACAATTAATAAAATAAGATAAAATGAAGGGATCTCGGCCGTCGATCTTCAACTCCTCAGATAGGCATGGACGGTTGGATGTCCGCATCAGTTTCACAATCACTTCGGATAATTTTGGCGCAACATTATGCTCATGGTTCACTATTTTCGTCGCCCAACTGAGTTGTACACAAAGTGCACCTATTTGTCAATTTATACATTCCAAACATATTGGTGTTGTTGTTTCACAAGAGGACGGTGTTTTGAGTGATTTCGAGCAGCATCGTGGCATGTTGAAGCCGCCTTGTGCAATATCATGTTAGTTGACCATAATCTAGTCAGACACGCTCGCATTTGTCATTGAATACATTTTAGGGGTCAACATATATGTTGTCTACTTAAGAAAGAAAGAAGGAACTAATGATTTGAGTATAATATAGATAAGACAATAAGATAAATAGTAAAATGACATATTACACGAAATACTGGTCATAGGGATAACCTTTGACTAAAGATCAGGTGGTAGAATTAAATGGTTTGAGCAGATTACATGTTATTAGGCAAGGAGTTGGAACTAATGCTTGAGAGGCAAAAATAAAGGGAATACAAAAAAGATCATGGATGCAAATCCTTTGGAAGGATCCAGTGCTGCCCTTAATAGAAATGAATTATAAAGAAGAAATCATGAAGCCGAAACACATAATTCTCACAACGACAAAGATGCCCGCTGTATATATCATAGGAATGTGAAAAAGATGGTTACCACATTAGGTTATTGTTCTCCTTCAGAATTATAAGCAAAATATGTAATCATAACGTAGTGCAGCAATAAATTACTTCTGAGATTAAAACAGATCAATTAAGAAATAAAATGGAATATACAGGGGAGTACATTATCTAGTTTCATTCTGGTTCTTTGCAATGGTTGGATTTGGAAGAAATAAAATAATAATAATATGAAGTCAATCTCTCTTTTGAGTATGAATTGATATATTTAGAAAAATAACAAATTCTATCTGAAGGATGCCAAGATTAATAAATGCATTCCTCATCATTGTCATTATTCATTGTTCTTATCCCAATTATTTGAAATTGGTTGTAAGCATTCTGATATTATTCTAATAGAAGTGTGAAAATGCTTAGGAGATCAAGAAATTTATTGGCTTAATGAACTTTTTAATATTATTTTGAAGACTAAAAAGATGCTCGATAAGTAGAGAAGGAATGTGTTGGTTCCTATTTTTAAGAATAAAGGTGATGCAAAAGAGTATATGAATTATAGATGAATTAAGTTAATGTGTCATACATTAAAACTATGGGAGAGAGTAATTGAACATAAGTTACAATGTGATACTAACGTTTCTCAAAATCAATTCAGATTCATGCTGGTTAGGTTTATTATGGAAGCTTACATTTGTTGAGAGGTTTGATGGAGAAGAGAGAGTTAGGAGGATCTAGATATGATATTTATTGATTTAGAGAAAGCATATGATAAAAGTTCCAAGAGAAGTGCTCTAGAAAGTTCTAGAAAAGAAATGAGTTAATACTGCTTATAGTCAATTCATTAAGAAAATGTATATAGGAACTATTACTTGTGTTCGAATAAGGAGGTTTGACCAAGTATCTTTCTATTTCAGTTGGAAGACATCAAGGATCAGCTTTAAGCCCATATCTTTTTACTTTAGTCATGGTTCTTCTGGACATTTGGAAGAGAATGTTCCCTAGTGTATGCTTTTTGCTGTTGATATTCTTCTTGTTGATAAGACTAGAGATGGAGTTGAAGGAAAACTTGAATTATAGAGATCAACCTTAAATTCTAAAGGTGTTCGTTTGAGTAGATCTAAAACGAATATATTGAGTGTAATTTTAGCAATAATAGATCTAGTGGGAGAATTGTGACTTTGGGCAATCAAGTCATAAAAAAGAGTACATGTTTTAGATATCTCGTGTCCATTATTCAAAGCCAGGGTGAAATATGTAGGGATGTTATTAGTAGAATTCAAGTTGGATGGTTGAAGTGGAGGAATGCATCATAGTGTGATAGAAAAGTACCCCAAACTTAAGTTAAAATTCTATAAGATGGTGGTAAGGCCTGCAACAGTGTTTTATTGCGCAAAATGTTGGCCATTAAAAGTGAGCAAAAAATTAAGTGTTGCAGATAAGAGGATGCTCAGTTGGATAAATGGCTTTACACCTACAGACAAAATGTAAAACGAATATATTCGTAAAAAGATTGGAGTAGCTCCAGTGACAGAAAAGATTTAGATAGAGTTTCCTTAGATGGTTTGGTCACATAAAACGTCAGCCTTTCGATGACCAGATTAGAAGAGTAGATGTCTTAGATCTGGTCTATGTTAATAAAGTTGGATGTAAATCAAAAAAGATTTGGTTAGAAAGTATTAGAAATGGCCATTTCAATTAGATTTAAATGAAAATTTGACTCTTAATAGAATACAATGAAGAAGAATGATTCATGTAGCCGACCCAACATAGTAGGATAGAGGCTTGATGTTGTTGTTGTGTTGTAAGCATCCTCATTCTCCATTAAAACAGGATGAATGCTTCATGAGGTTTTAACTCGATTTTCAGCAAATCGTTTTGCACAACTTCACCATGTTAACCAAGGACAGTCAATTTTCCTTTCTTAATCCCTACACATTAAAGCTAAATAACCATGCTAATAGTGCAACTTCTACTCCTTATTATCCATGTTTAAACTATCCAGGCCTATTTAGTACTATCTCGCCTTCCATAGGTGCCACTCCCATTACCTTAAAACAGGATTGTTTCTCAATCTATCATTATTAGTTTTGTAACACATTCATCTTAACAAATTCCACTTCCATTACAAGGAAACAAAAAAGAAAAGTTAATCTCTAAAGTAATTACATGTTTACATTACATTTGAATATTTCTTGCTGTAAAAGAGTAATCAAGTATTTCTCACAATTTAGGATTAATGATACCAAATTTAACTAATTACCATGATAGTACAGGAAAAGCATACCTCGAAAGCCTTAAGATCATCAAAGGCATCAACAGTAATATTTGTAAGCACAGGAAACAAAGCCTTCCTGAACCATTTTTGCATTTCTGGCTCAATGGAATCTGACGTGAAAGCAGGAGCGTGTAGATAAATCAGCTTAGTAGTGCAAATATCATATTGTTGAGAACAGAAATCAAAATGCTTAAATGAAATTTTCATAAGAAAACCAATATGCCATAAAACACAAGTATTCTTGCTGCCACGTAAATGAAAACTAGCTTAATATCCACAATACTATTGGTAACTAAGTGGAAGAACAAAAAGAATTTAGTGTACTATAATTTTGGTGTATCTCAGCTTGAAGAAAGTAGAATTTTTTTTTTTTTGTATCTCTATATTTTCCCTCTTTAGAATCTCACGATTCTATCATCTAAAAAATTATCAGTCAAAACCCAAATTCAAATGTTTAGCAAGATTAACTGAGTCATCATGACTACTATTAACTATAAGTCCAAACTTTGCTTTGACCATCGGGTAACTCATTAAGAACCATGGTTGCCCTCATCTGAGGTCCCAGATGAACAGAGGATAAGAATAATGCCAAACGGCCTAATTTTATGGAACACCATGATGAGGGGGGCACCCCTATCAAACGAAATAAAGGGATACAAAGGCGTTGAGTATGAGAAGTGTGGTTCAGACGTATGCTGAGTATCACCAACCCAGAAGCCTGCTATGTAACACAGTGGCTCATATGATAAAAAGTATAGGTTATTTAGTCATAATGATATGACATTGATTCTTAGTAATCTAATTGTGTACACACTTTATGTGAAACTGCTAACACTAATTTCTCTGTGAAATATTTCCCCTTGGAACATTTGTATCTATGACTGGAATGGTGGTCTGTCAATGCTTGGAGCAACGAATTTGTACATTTTTCAAAGCAGGCTTGTGTTTCCTGAACCGGCCCAATCTTCCCCAAATCCTGAACCGGCCCTGGATGGGCCGGTTTTGGTCTACAAAAAGGCGGGCTAGTACCACCTCCTCTTCCTTTGCCTCCCACAATAGTGGGTCCCACTATTCAAATTGAATCCAAAATAAGAAAGGAGGGGGCGGCTAGGGTTTTGGAGGGAGATTTGAATTAAAAGGTTTATGTATTAAATAGCATGAGGTATCTTACGTTTGGAGTTTATGCTTTCATCTGTTTCTTTTGTTCTCTTGAAGCTTCTTTGACGTCTTGGGCTCTAGATTCATCGTCTAGATATTGGGAGAAAACGATCCTTCTCTCGAATTGAGGATCAATTGTATCTTGCTTTGTGTTTGCTTTTTCTTTGAATCCACTATTACAATCTATCATTTTGGATTGATTTCATAGAGATTATCGCATTATTCCCACTATTTTTATCAATTATCTCTAGGGTTGCTTGCGAACTCAAGTATTTCCTCTTGGATTACTTGTGAACTCAAGTATTTCATGTTGGATTACTTGCGAACTCAAGTATTTCCTATCAGATTGCTGGGAAAAGACTAAGGCAACAGGATGTTAGCATACATTTCAACATTAATAGGAATTCATAATATATTGCTTCATTCCAATTGTCTAAAGGCATGGCTTCCTTAGCATGGTTTCATAATCAACAGGCGGACCGTTGAAGCATTGGCATATTAATAGATGCATCTATAAAATGGATTTGTAGCCAAAGGATTAACCATCAAACATAGAATCATCTCTATTGGGATATAGATTTAAGCCAAAGCTTTTGTTTAATTATTACTTTAAGCATTACCTATCTAGCCCATATTAGGATCTCATAGTTCGAGTGGAGTCATGACTATCGGGTGGAGTCATGATTTCTTTGTTTATGGCAGTCCCCATAGAAACAACCATGGGAAACATGCTAAAGGAGCTCAAATTTGTGGCAGACCTTGACTTAAAGAGAACATTGCCATGTCAAATGGAACAAATGACTAAGACACTTGAGACCATAGTTAAGGGGAAACCAAGTCATGAAGTAGGGATGGTGTGGTTAAGATGCCCAGAAGCATGACTAGTAGTGGCTCAAAATCATCAATGGTGCACATAAGTTCATCGGCTTATAAAGCATGGTTGACTTGGTCATATTGATATCATGTGCATTATTGGTGATCTGGTCTTATTGTGAAATAAGCTTGTATCGCACATCTTGTCCAGGCTAGTGGACTAGTGCTTGCTCAAAGTATAAAGCAACTACTTAGCATAAATTCAAGGGGTATATGTTATCGTTTTTTGTTAAATTCAGAGGTTTGGTTTTCAAAATTGGACCGAACTGGGTGATTTGGCAGGTTTAATTGTAAACTTTTATTTAGTTGGTTCAATTCATATTAAAAATCAATCATGTATCAAACCGGTATGAACCGATCAAAACCACCTGTTCAACTGCAAACCGTTGAACTGGCCCCGATTTCTTAGATCCAGTCGGTTTAATTGCTATCCCATTTAAACAATTACATAAATTAATTTAATAAAAAATATTAAACTTAATAAACTAATTTTAATTTAAACTATTTTAATTTTATAATAAACAATAAATTCCTATAATGCTCATTTTCCACCATTTGGGAGTGAGGGTACCTTTGCATGCTTTTCAAAATGGATGGTGGACTAGTCAGCCTTGTCAAATTTTTAGTGTAGCTGTGATGTTGGCTTGACTAGAAGGGTTTCTCATTGAACATATAGCAGACAATATTGATACTACACTAAAACCTAGTTCTACTTACATTAATCAACAACAGGCAATTAAAAAATAAAAATAAAAAAACAAGCAATAACGTTGTTCTAGACCATTCTGTCAATTATGGCCAACTAGGGAGCTTTAAGTGTCGCCTAATCAACTATAACTCCATAAGAAATCAGGAAAATATATATCCTTGACGGAATACTCAATTGGATCAAGCTAAAATGCGATATTGAGGCACACTAATCATTGATTAGGTTTATGCAATTGCTAGGTAAACAATAGGGATAATGGGCCACATCAGAATTTCCGAAACTTCGTTCACTATTTATGCCTAGTTTAATGAATTTTCAATTTTTAAGAACTTAAAAGCATTTTAATACATATTTATGATTGAGAAGATACGAGTTTGCACTTAAACTTTATTAGGGGTGCTTACAAATATGAAAGAGGTCTTGTTGCAACTTTCCAAACTTTTTAGGGGAATAAATAAAATTTTAAGATGCCCAATCATTTTTTTAAACTTCCAAGAATTTTAAATTTTTCCTGAATATTTTTTTGAAGCTTCAGGATATTTCTAAAAAATTTCAAATTATTTGGGAAGAGTAGTTCTTTTAAACATGTCCATTGTCCAAGCTAGAGCTGTAATTTTAAAAATTTTATCCCATAGATTACAAAAATGAAATTCTTTAGAGGCCCCATATAATAAAGTGGATCAAGGTAATTGGTCAACATAAAAAATAATTAGGTAAATAAAGTAACATGTAGTATAAGGCTTCAATCTTCAATCAAGAGGATATTGAAAGGAGTTGATAAATGATGTAGCATCATGAGATATCACGCGTCATGTGAAACCCATCTTTTTAAATAACCCAAGATCTATACTTGCATTGAAAGCAGGTGAGTCCCAGGATGTCGTATGCCCTACTGAGAGATCTTCATACATTGCATTAGGTTTCATTGGTTCGTGTCTAGGCTTTAATTGTTCTTTTTCAATCGCTAAGTTGTTCCGCATGTTGATTGCAAACCTCATAAATTGATTGAGTTCATCCTTATATAGGATTGAAGGATAATTTCCATCTTTTATTTTTTTGGATTGTAATTATAATTTGTTTAAAAGTGTTCACACTATTGTTTAAGGGGAAAAGTTCATTGTTATGGCTTGATGCTCAAGCCACGGATTTGTCTCCCACTTTAAGCCCATCATAATTTATGATCCGATCAATCATATGTTGCAGCCGACACAAAATTTTATGTGCTTGAACTTTTTAGTCACATATTTGCCCTCTGTTCTACCTTCTTAAGGTAAGGATGAGTCAGTGTGTGCTTTGCTCCATCCAAAATTAACTCCTATCACACCTCTAATGAAACTCTGACAATGACAAGCAATTTCTCTTCCATTTTGATGAGTTTTACATTTATTATTTTTATGTTTTGTTTTCGAGCATTTCATCAAAGTTTCTCCTTTTTGGTGGCTCTCATGGTGACGTTGATTGCTCAAGAAATGCTCCCTCCACCATCAAGCTTCCTCGATGAGAAATGAGAGATATTGAGAATAGTTTTTCATGAAGTAGATTAGTTTATTTTAACCATATTTTTTTTCTGATGCTAGGGCAAAGTTTATTTAAATATGGGATCAAGACGTCCTATAAGTATACCCATAGTTAATTGATCTAACCCATGAAAAAGCACTCCTAATTAAGAAGATTCAATAGGCTCAAGTTTAAATTTAAATTTAGATTAGGCATTTATGTTTCATTCATGAGGAATATTTGTAGGAATGGAGAATAACCAGATAAATATCTCATAATTCCATCATCCCGGGTCTACCAGTGGACCTAATTTGTCAATATCGCAGGGATTTGGGCCAAGACGATCAGGTACCATGATTAGTAAACATGCTAAGCATTTACTTTCCTGAATATTGACAATGTGTACAACAACAGATTTTTATCATCTAGAATGTTTAATCAAGGCATTTTTCACGGTAACTTTCTATTTAGAACATGACATAACGTGCCTCTTAAGTTTTTCGGTAATATAGTAACTTGGTTGATAAAATAATCTGGTTAGATGTCAAATAATATTAGAAATCCCTTTTTTTTATAGTGATCTTTTTTTTTCCTTTCTCACAATCAAGCCCTGGCTGGGGATCCTAGTCAAGAGAAAGCATCATTTAGAGATCTTAAATTGCATACAGCTCGATGTGCATTCCAACAGTGCCCTAGGGTCAAGACAATCGGCATTAAGAGAAGCAGCAGTTATTAAGCACAACAAAATAAAACTTTCAGAGCAAAAAGATACTGAATTGTAAAAACATACCTTGATCATATGCAGCACCATATTTACCTCTACTAACTGATGACAACATTTGCAAGAAATAATGGTTGCAATATGAACCTAGAAAGATTCCCAGAAAATTTAAAGCAGCGGAGAAGAATAGAGAAGGGAATTACAAAGACAAGTTAGAGACCCTTCAGAAAATTACTTTGCAAGTGAAATCGGCAATATTAATAAAAAACAGAAACCGTAATAATGAAGAACATATATAATACTGTCCAAAAGGAAACAACACTCTTAAGAAAACTAGGGCACCCAGCAACAAGGCTAGAGTGATTTTGAACCAGCCTGACCAACCTAACGTCCAAGTCTATGTCTAAAAAAAATAGAAATAGTGTGAACCAACAAAAGATAATCATACAAAGAGTGCATCCAAATACTCGTTTAGCTGCATAATGTAATAGCTAATGGGTAAAAAAAAAACAAAAACTCAATAGAAGCCTCTCTTCTTGAATCCAGGGAAGTGATTTATGATAGAACTACATCATAGTAATCATCATCACTAGTCTCATCCCAATTATTTGGATTCAACTTTATAAATCCTCCTTTTTTATTCATTCTTGCTGAATACTATATGAAATTTTAATTTTATTTCTGTACAAGTGCTCTTGGAAATCATATAGTCATGCTACTTTTGGTCCAAATTATATACTCACATATGTCTTCACAAATACTTAGCAAGTAGTCGGCAAATTATAAGGAGAGAACTCACATTCGATGGACCCCACAGAGGAACTCGCCCAAGGAATATCAGGCCCCACTCCCCCGGGCCTACGAAGAAAGATCGCCTGTCTCAGGGGCAACAAGGGACCTCAACAACTAAGTAACTCACTGTTTGCATCATGGGACGAAGGCAGTCTATACAGCAACTCTCCCCTACCTGGGATGGATGCCTTCATCCCTATACAACCAAGTTCAACTGATGTGAAACATATGTGAATGGATGGTGAATTAGGAACTTGCACGCTTGATCTAGAGAACAATATTATTTGAAAGCTTTTTTAAGCGATAAAACGACGAGATAAAACACGAGCGTGGTGTCATAAGTTTAGGCTAAGTCACATACATAAAAGTTAAAACCACAAAAGTAATCAATTAAACTTAACATTGCATGCGAGGTAGGTTTCAACCATGAATCCCCCCCTAGGGGTAAAATGGGAAAACATGAAAACAAAATAAACTAGTACATAAGACAAAAAAGAAAATAATAAACTCCACATCATAGCCGTCGATCTTTTGATGTCCTCATCATCAACTCCTCCAAAGCATCAATTCACTCGCTTTTTTCCTTTTAAGGAAATTTGCGCCTTAGCATAGGTCACCAGCAGCCCTCAAATGCCACTCAGCCACTGAGCACCCCTTGTTTGAAACTCACTTGCAGACTCGCCCACTCCTACTTTGCATTCCCCAGCTTGCCCAACATACTCAACATTACTGAGCTTGGCCGGAGATAGATCAACAGAACTTTGCAACGCCTGGCCCTCCCTCAGCTAACAAGGAGCTAATACGTGTCTAGCTAGGGTAATCTGTGTAGCATTATACATTCTTTTTTTGTGGTGTAACCTTTCATGTAGTGATGCATGCAAAAATTAGGACAACCCCCTAATTTTTGCAAGCAAAAGAAAAAGACTTTATAAACTTTTAAACAAAACTCACATGACACTCATATACATGACACCAAGACACACACGACAACCATGCTCTTATACCAAATTGATGCATGAAAAAATTAGGTATATTCACCATCATTAGTTGGCACAATCTTTTGCATACAAGATTTCTGATGCATGCAAAAATTAGGACAACCCCCTAATTTTTGTAAGCAAAAGAAAATCTTGTATGCAAAAGATTGTACCAACTAATGATGGTGAATATAAGAGATTTTCTATAAAAAAAAGGATGATATGATTTTATTTTTGGAAGCCAAAACGTGCGGGTGTCTTTGTGGAAAAGCCTGAGAGCTTGTTCCACCTCTTCCTCTTCTTCTAGGAAAGCTTGCGGGCTTCTCCTCCATTTCGTCTCAGCTTCTAATCTCTTTCATCTCGCCGCAAGTGACCACCCCACATGTATCTTTCTTCTCAATGATTGGCAAGCAGCTTTAGGAGTTTATGTTTATGTTTGTGTTTTGTGTCAAGAGTTGTAAGTGTCTTTTTATTATAAAAAATTATATTTTGTGTTCTTTGGTGTATTTTTTATTTCCTAGGAAGCTTTTTCTTTTGCTTGCAAAAATTAGGGGGTTATCCTAATTTTTGCATGCATCAATTTGGTATCAGAGTATATGTGTTCTTTACCCCATTGTGAATGGTTTTGTGATCAAATTGCCAAGGATGACCCAATAAAATATGGCAGACTTAAAGTGGAACGACATCGCAAACAACTTGATCTTTGAAAGAACTCCCAATTGTTAAGTTAACAGAACATTGTTTTGTTATTGAAACTTCACCCCCTCCTTGAACCAAGAAATTTTGTAAGGTTTGGCAAGTGGTTTGGATTTTAACTTGAGCTTAACAACCATTATTTGTGAAACAAAATTTCCCGAACTCCCGCTATCGATCATAAGAGTGCAAATTTTTCCCTCAATCATGCAAATGGTTCTGAAAATATTTCTCCTAAGCCATCTATCCCCATTTTCAATTTTAGTTGTCAAAACTTGTCAGATTACCAAAAGTTGCTCACCTTCATCTCCCTCTACATCAACTTTTTCTAATTAAATGTTGTTTTCAGGATCGGATTCGTTTTCTTCCTCTTCTTCTAACTCTTCATCATTTTCAATGTAATTGTTTCTTTGTGGGTTATTTTTTCTACAAGCCGCAGAGAGATGATTATAAAGCCCACATTTATAGCATGGTCCAATTAATCTTGATTGTTTAGTAGGTTTAGGCCCCATTATTCCCTTTTCTTTATCCACATTTTGATTTTTGAGTTTCAAAAGATTTAATTTTCACACCCGATGTTCCCACAAAAGTTTGAGAAGATTGAGTTTTAACCCCACCAGCCTGTCTTTGCTTATATGTTTTAGTTATTTTGTTGTGACCCCTTTAATGTTGCTTTTTAATTTTTAATGTCATACGATAAGCCTCGTCAATTTTAATTATGTGGTGCGAACTCAGTTAATCTTGGATTGTCCATTTTAAACCGTTGATATACCTTGAGACAGTCTTTTCTTCATATTCATCTAAATCATTTCTAGATTGAAGTTTGTAAAACATTTCAGTGTATTCTTCAACAGATTGATTTCCTTGTCGCAAGTTATTAAATTCTTGAAAGATTGTTCGTGCGTGATCTAATGGCAAGAATTTCCCCCTCATTTTTTCTTTCATTCTTTCCAATTTTGCATTTTCTCTTTCCCTCGCCTAAGTCTATTGTTCTATAAATTTTTCCACCATGTGAGTGCATGACCAGTGAGTTTTAAACTTGCAAATTTGGCTTTCCTATTTTTCGGAATTTCTTTCCATTCAAAGAATTGATCCATTTTTTCAATCCACTCGATGAATTGGTCGGGTTGTAAATTTCCCTCAAAGTTGTGAACATCTATTTTAATCTCATAATCCCAATTTCTTTGTCGCCTATTTTGATTCCTAGGGACTTCTTCTTCACTTTCAGATGTTTGAAAATTATGATGGTTGACATTTAAGTTAGCAAGAGTGTTAGCCATTTTGTTCATTTGATTTTGCAAATCCGCTAACTGTTGCATCATTTGTTGTCAATCCCCTTGATTATTAGCCATTTTTTTATTTTCTAAAGAAAGAGACTCATACCAACCAAGGATTTGCTAACTCGCTCTGATGCCAAATTGATGCATGCAAAAATTAGGACAACCCCCTAATTGTTGCAAGTAAAAGAAAAAGGCTTTATAAACTTTTAAACAAAACATGACTCAAAAACAAAACTCACATGACACTCACATACATGACACCAAGACACACACGACAACCATGCTCTGATACCAAATTGATGTATGCAAAAATTAGCACAACCCCGTAATTTTTGCAAGCAAAAGAAAAATATGTTATAAACTTTTAAACAAAACATGACTTAAAAAAAAAACTCACATGACACTCACATACATGACACCAAGACACACACGACAACCATTCTCTGATACTAAATTGATGCATGCAAAAATTAGGACAACCCCCTAATTTTTGCAAGCAAAAGAAAAAGACTTTATAAACTTTTAAACAAAACATGACTCAAAAACAAAACTCACATTACACTCGCATACATGACACCAAGACACACGACAACCATGCTCTGATACCAAATTGATGCATGCAAAAATTAGGACAACCCCCTAATTTTTGCATGCATCATGTAGCCCTCATACCCCTATTAAATAAGGAAAATATATTTTGCATCCTTTGAATCTTATGATACTAGTATCTTTTTCTATCTGATTGAGATCCTAAGCACTCTTTATAGCTTTTCCCTAGCATTTCCCCATTCTCTCCATCCTCACACAGCTTCCTGGTTTACACTCATAGGTAAACCTGCTAATAAAATCCACCATCATCCATGGACAAATTTGGATCCAACATAAATCATTTTCCTTTCTAATCCTTACACCTTAATTCAATCAACATTCTGGTGCATCTCCTAAACTATCTTGATTTATTCACTCTTCCCCCTTCTTTCTTTTTTCTTTTTTCTTTTTTCTTTTGATCTGCTCATACCATTCCAACTTTTTTCTATAAGAACAGCATTTTAAATGTCAATTGCCAAAAAAACAAATGAAAATATTAGAATATCAACACAATATGGTGAAGTGGACCTATTGAATAAATAGCAAAACATGAAGATCTTTCACAACCTTAACAGATAGAATAACAAAATTTGCAACCAAGTTTTGGGACCTTTCTGCTTATAAGCAGGTACTACTAAGCATCTCAAGGAGTTTTTTTAATGCATTATATTCTCAACGAATTAAGGTGAAGATTACATCAAAAAATTAGTCTGAAGCTTCAATACATTACCTATGCCAAAAGTGCAGATTCTTGGGGACAAAGATCCTCCATTTTCTACGTGAGATTTTACAGTGTGACAAACAGTTCGTTCATTCTCAACTGCTCCATCAGTTACGAGAAAAATATATGGGACTGCGTCCTTTGTTTTAGATAACAAACCTAGCGACTGAATACAGCAAAAATAAAGCTATGATGAATATGACAATGTTAGATAGGCTGCACTCAGAAGATTTCTATCAACAAAATAAAAGACGATGTGGTTAAAGTCGACCACCTGAATGGAATTTTCATCAAACATCCTCAACGCCTTTACGCAGTAGCAACATTAATGTTATAACTGGCAATGAATAACTTATCACCCAAGTAAGGATTCAGTAAGCACAAATAAACATCTACCTCATTCAGGGGTCGCATAATATTTGTCCCACCACATGCGATCAAATTTTTGCTTATCCACTGCGTAGTGCTTTCTAGCAGGTCCACATTAGCGGGTTCCAGAAATGATGAGAAAGAGTACATCTCTTCGTTGAAAGCTATTATGTTGAAGCAATCAGTTGGGGCAAGCTCTGGAAGAATTGAAAGTAGAGCACTCTTAACACTCTCAAGAGGCTTTCCTTGCATGCTTCCACTTATATCAACGAGAAATATGACTTCCTTTCTGAAAACCTAATACAGAGACTGGAAAAAGAATGAGAAGAACCATTTGCAAATTACAAAAGACAAGTAACACTTTGGGACATAGAAGTTTGGTGATGCAAAAAAGATGAAAAACAACTGAAGTAAGACATTGTAGGATAAATATTAATAGCGAAAATGATGCCAATTGGCAGCTTCAAAGAGTGAAATCTAAGAAGGCATAACCAAGTGTGTGAAGCTCCCTTCATTATGATGTCTAGGGAGAGTAATATATGTAAACTTATTCAGACATTGCAAATAAACTGTTAGACCGGTCCTGGACCTGCCCAGCTGGTCCAAAGGGGACCGTTCAGATTTATAGGAGGTGGAACAGGGGGGTTCCGCCCCCTTCTTCTGCCCCTTTTGATAGTGGGGTCAACATGCTTGATTAAGGAAAATTTAGGGGTGCATTTAGGAGGGAAAATTCAAACAAAAGGGGTTGTTTTGGAATTAACCAAATTATTGTATGCTTAAATATGTTTTGGTGGCTAGGGTTAGATTTTTATCTTGCTTTTTGTTGTAGTTTGCTGGTTCTTGGTTCTTGTGTGGGTTCTAGTGGCGTCTAGAGGTTTCAGAGAGTCGGATCTTCCTCTCCAATTGAAGATCCACCTGTATCTTGCCATTTTCCTTTATATATTTGAGTTTTGGTGTGTTCTTTCTAAATTTTTTATGTAGTTCTCTGGTTTTTGCTGAAATTGCATCCACTTCCTAACAAATTGGTATCAGAGCACTTCAATAAGGTACTAATGGTCGAAAGGAAACTAGAAGTGTTGGAGGGGGAATTAGGCCAACTGAAATTAGATTTTGTGAAAAAAAAAATCATATTTTCAAAACAATTTCCATCCATCCATGAAAAGATAGATGGAAAGTTCAGTGCCCTGGAAGACATGCTGAAGAAGTTGCTTGAAGCCAAACCAAATATGATGACATCAAAAACAAAGGAAGCCACTAGTGGCCAATGAAGAGGAGGAAACCCTAATCGGTTTAGGGGAGGGGAGAATCAAGAGGGGGAGATTCTGGAGAGAGAAGATGGGATGCCTCCACTAGAGCCTATTTCTAAGTAGGAAATAAGTATTGGGTACGAACGAATGGATGTTGATTTTGCAAGAAGAGGGGTGGATTATGAGCGTCAAGGTGTTGAATTTGAAATAAGGAGGGGGATTTTGAAGAAGGGTTTGAGTACGAGCCAGAAGGGGAGAATAGGACAATTGAGAGCACCTCCATTTAGGGGAATGGGAGGCTACGGAGGATTCAGAGGAAACGGAGGTGATCTGAGGGTAAGGAAGCTGAAGATGCTCGTCTTTGAAGGCGAGGACGCACATTGGTGGATCTACAAATTATAGAGGAATTTCGCCGACAACAGGATGACAGATGAGGACAAATTGATAGCGGCTGGTCTGTGTTTGGAGGGGAAGGCTTTGGCCTAGCACCAATAGAGACATGAGACGGCCCATTCAAAGTTGGAGGGAGTTCAAGGATTGTTTACTAGAACGTTTTCGAACTAGTAGGAAAGGGGACTTTTATGAGTAATTCTTCGCCCTAATATAGGAGGGTTCTATGGTGGAGTATCATGACATGTTTGAGTACCTAGCTAGCCGATTGGATTGACTTTCTGAGACAATGTTGGAGGAAAACTTCATAAAGGAACTCAAGCCCGAGATTCGGCGGCTGTTAGAGAGATGAGGCCACGTGACTTGGGAGAGGCTATGGAGCTTGCGCAATTGGTGGACCAAAAGTATCTAGAGAGAGGGACCAAAGGCAGCATTTCAGGAGGCTCATACAAGATGACCACCACGTTCTTAGCTCCCAAGGGACTAGCACCATGAAGCCTTCATGAGGTCCCAAAGGAGAAGCCTGGAGGAGGGGGATTCAGGGGAAACTTCAGAAAGCTCACTAAGGAGTTACAAAAGAAACAGGCGAAGGGAGTGTGCTTCAGATGTGATGGGAGGTACACGCCGGGGCACAGATAAGGATCGAACTCTTCAAGTACTTATCGTCTGTGATGATGAGGAAGCTAAGGAGGGAGATGAGAGTGAGGCAGTGGTAGAGGAGGAGGAGAAGCTTCATCTTGACATGGCTGGAGTCTCTTTAAACTCAGTGATGAGGTTCACCCCGAATCACACCATGAAAGTGAAAGGAGAAATAACAAACCAAGAAGTAGTGGTGTTGATCGACAGTATGGCTACCTATAATTTTATCTACAATCAGGTAGTTGACCAACTGGGGGTGAAATTGGTGGATACCGAGGGCTATGGGGTGATAATGGGCACTGAAAAAGTGGAGATGGGTAGAGGAGTGTGTAGAGGAGTTGTGCTGACTATACAATGAGTTCAGGTGAGGGAGGATCTTCTCTCATTGGAGTTGGGTAGCATATATGTCATCCTGAGGATGAAGTGGCTGCAGACATTGGGAGATATCAAGGTCAATTAGGGAGCATTGACGATGGAGTTGCTGGTGAAGGGAAGAAGGATGGTGATCTGGGGAGATGCAAGGTTGTCTAGGGCCATGGTGCCTCTCAAAACCATGATCAGGACCATACACGAGGAGGGGGGAGGATTTATAATGGAACTGCAGAGTTTATAAGGGATCAAACTAAATGAGGGGGGGAAGGGGGATTCCTCTTTCAGTACAGCCACTCATACAACAATTCAGTGAGGTTTTTTAGCCACCTCAAGGCTTACAATTCAGGGTGTCACCAATTAGTGTGTGTCCATACTACTACCTCAAATTCAAAAGGATGAGATCGAGAAGCTGATCAGAGAGATGGAGGTGGGGATCATCAGGCCAAGTATGAGCCATTTTTCTAGTCCAGTCTTACTGGTCAAGAAGAAGGATGAGAGCTGGAGATTAAGTGTGAACTATCGGGCCTTAAAAAAGGAGACTGTGTCAGAAAAATTTCTCATTCCAATGATTGATGAGCTACTAGATGATCTATGTGGTGTAGTGGTCTTCACCAAGATGGATCTAAAGTCGGAATACCATCATATCAGGATGAGAGAGGAAGATATTCTAAAGACTGCTTTCAGGACATGTGAGGGGCATTACGAGTTTTTAGTGATAAACGCCCCTGCCACTTTCCAGTTGCTCATGAACAGGGTGTTCAAACCATATCTCATGAAGTTTGTACTGGTCTTCTCTGATAAAATATTGGTACATAGTAGCTCGATAAGAGAGGAATTGAAGCATGTAAGGGTGGTCTTGAAAGTATTACGAGAGCATCAGCTGAGAGCCAACCTGAAGCAATATTACTTTGCACATATCAGTGTGGAATACTTGGGCCATGTGGTCTCTCAGGAGGGGGTGAATATCGATCAGGCCAAAATTGAGGCAATGCAGAAATGATCTCTACTTAGAAATCTGAGAGAGCTGAGGGGGTTCTTAGGGTTGACAGCGTACCACAGGAGATTCGTGAAAGGCTTATAGCACCATAGCTTGGCCATTGACAAAGCAGCTAAAGAAAGACGGTTTTCTATGGAAACAGGCAGCTACAGAGGCCTTTGGGAGACTAAAAAAGACCATGACTACAGTACCGATTTTGGCTCTACCAGATTTCAATCAAATCTTTGTGGTTGAGACAGATGCATCATGATATGAGTTGAGGGCTGAACTCATGCAGAATCACAGACCCATAGCATACTTAAGCCAAGTGTTGACAGCCAGAGCTATGTTAAAGTCATTCTATGAGAGAGAAATGATGGCTATTGTGTTAGCCATTCAGAAGTGACAATCATACTTGTTGGGATGGCATTTCATTGTTAGGACGGACCAGAGGAGCTTGTAGTTCCTTTGGAGCACAGGATGGTGATGGAAGAGCATCAGAGATGGTTATCAAGCTATTAGGCTCTGATTTTGAGATCCAATATAGGCTTGGATTGGAGAACAAATCGGCGGATGCATTATCCAGAAGCATGGGGGAACTCCAGGAGTTGGCTATGTCAATACTGTTGATGCTAGATTGTGGTTGGGGGTCGATACCACTAATGTTCGATTTGGGAGCTATCAAAGAGGAGAGTATGCATGATGAGGAGTTGGAAAAAATTAGAGTAGATCTTTTGAAGGATGGGAACAGCCACCCAAGATACTCTTTAGAGGGGGAGAGATTGTTGTGCCAGGGGAGGTTTGTGATGCCTAGTACCTCAGTTCATATCCCATAGCTGCTACAAGAGTTCCACGGGAGCACTATTGGAGGTCACTCTGGTGTACATAAGACATACATGAGACTGGCAGCGAAGCTATATTGGAGGAGGATGCACAAGGATGTGAAATAGATGGTGGCTAGATGTGAAGTGTGTTAGAGGAACAAGTACATGGCCATGGCTCCTAAGAGGTTACTTCAACCACTAGCTCTACCAGACAGGATGTGAGAGGAGGTCACCATGGACTTTACTGATGGGTTGCCTCACTCTGAAGGGTTTACAGAGATTCTGATGGTAGTTGACAGATAGAGCAAGTACGCTCACTTCATCCCCCTATGGCATCCTTACACGATAGTGACGGTAGCGACCGCATTCATCAGGGAGGTGGTCAAGCTACATTGGATAATGAAATCTATAGTATCCGACAGAGATAAGGTATTTCTCAATCATTTTTTGAGGGAGTTGTTTAGGTTATAAGGGACAGTGCTAAAGAAGAGCACCGCTTACCACCCCCAGACAAATTGATAAATAGAAGTGGTGAACAGAAGCTTGAAAACATACATGCTATGTTTTGCTTCAAAAACACTTAGGATATGGGCCAAGTGGCTGAATTGGGCAGAATAAAGCTACAACACCTCGTACCACTCGGCCTCCTAGATGACTCGCTTCAAGGTGTTGTTTAGAAGAGACCCTCCCCACTTGGTACATTTGGGCAGAGTCGCACATTAGTATCTTCAGTAGAACAGTACTTGGGGGAAAGGGATAGGGTGATGGAAGAGTTATAAAGCACCTGTTGAGGGCTCAATAAATTATGAAGAAGCAGGTGGATGGACACAGGAAGGACACCCAATTTGTCGTTGGGGACATGGTTTAAAATTGCGCAATTTGAGGCTCGCCTTGAGGCCAACCTTTGCGCAATTCCAGTAAAAAACGCCTCGATGCTTACGCCTCAAGTTTTTTTTATGAGGCTTGCGCCTCAACTTGGTTGAGGCCCGCCTCGCCTCACTGGCATGAGGCGTACACCTCACGCTATATATATTAAAACATACATAAATCTTGAAGTAAATGCCCGACATTGGACTCTATAGGAGAGGAGGAAGGGGAGAGAGCAGTTCATCATAATGATGATTCAAATGAAGAATCCCTTAGTGATGACAGTGCTGATGACTTATGAGTTCTTATGTGATATGGCATTGCTATTTATTTTTGGAAATTTAAATTATATGTTAATGAAAAGAATATTGGGATTTGGGAAAGATAGAATTTTGAGTTGAACTATATTTCATGTTGTCTTATTATTGGGATATTTTGATTTCACTTAATATCATTTTATGTTTACGCAATCTTTTGATTTTGAGGCTTACGCCTCAAAACGCCTTGGGGCTTACGCCTCGCCTCACGAATGAAAAACGCCTCAATACCCGAATACGCAATTTTAAACATTGGTTGGGGATAAGGTATTCTTAAAGTTGCGACCCTACAGACAGAGGAAAACAGCCAACAAAAGGTATGAGAAGCTAGCCCCTAAGTACTTTGGCCCTTGTGAGGTATTAGAGAAGATTAGAGCTGTGGCTTATCGCTAGAAGTTACCCTCGACTGCTTCCATACATCTAGTGTTCCATGTATCACAGTTGAGGAAAACAATGGGGGATCATGCAGCTAGTTCAAAATTACCAGGGACGCTAACACCGGATTTGGAGGTGGTTTTGGAACCATTGGAACGTAAAGGGGTACGCCAGGGAAAAGGAGAGCCCAAGGAAGTGTTGATCAAGTGGAAGAACTTACCTGACTATGATGCCGCTTGGGAGCCATATGAGGACAAGGTGGCTCTTTGGGAGTGAAGTATTGTTAGACCGGCCTAGCCAGTCCAAAGGGGACCGGTTCAGATTTATAGGAGGCGAAACAGGGAGGTTCTGCCCCCTTCCTCTACCCCTTTTGATAGTGGGGTCCACATGCTTGATTAGGGGAAACTAAGAGGGGGTTTAGGAGAGAAAATTCAAACTAAAGGGGGCTGTTTTGGAATTAACCTAATTATTGTATGCTTAAATATGTTTTGGTGGCTAGGGTTAGGTTTTTATCTTGCTTTTTGCTGTAGATTGCTGGTTCTTGTTTCTTGTGTGGGCTCTAGCGATGTCTAGAGATTTGGGAGAGCCATATCTTCCTATCCAATTGAAGATCCAACTATATCTTTCTATTTTCATTCATATATTTAAGTTTTGGTATGTTTTCTTCCTAAATTCTATGTGTCGTTCTCTGATTTTTGCTGAAATTGCATCCACTTCTTAACATAAACATTGCATGATTGCTTGTGACCTCCGGATTACAAAAAAGTGACAACCTAGCCATTACTCGAGACTTTCCCTCTAATTGGCTACTGCAAAGAAGATCATCAGAAAACAAAAAATAAGCAATATCTAAATATTTCAAGAGGCATATGACTAAGGAAGGATATGCAAACAATGAAATTAGCAAATTCAGAATAGTACAAATTGACATGTTGATGGGTAACATTGCAACATCATATCGATATTAATAAACAAGTATCAAACAGGTAAGGTAAGCACTAGTACATAAATAGCAACATAGATAAAAGGTTAGGAAGTAAAACCAGTGACTTAAAAAGTAATTTCCTTCAACATTAAAGGGGCACTGATATACGGCTTAACAAGTAAATTAGTATTCAACTTCATGTAAACATAAGAGAGTATCTGGAAAGTTGGAGGTACCTTCCCCATCTGATTACTCCCAGGATAAAGGCATAGGCAGAACATATTTCTTTGATCTAGATCATGCATTGAAGGAGAGTTCAACATTATACCTCCATATATATCACTTGAGAAAACCTGTGCAGTTTAAAAATTCTTGTAAAATAATGCTGAACCTACTAACAAGAGATTCAAAAAGAATATTTTGATTAAAAAGTATGTGCTAGTCAACTGGTAAGTGAATCTCTTAGATGAAATATTGATGCCAAAATCAAAATCTACAATCGATGGAAACACAAAATATTGCATTCTATAGATCATTTTGAATTATAATCAATTAACTCAATCAGTTAGAATTTGTATTTGCAAGCACGTGACTGTGTTGTAGTAGGGGGATGAGGGGACAGGACACGGTGCTACCACTACATTTTTTTTTTTATGGTGCTACCACTACATGAAGAAACTGTACTTGCAATAGTATTTGGTGTTTTTGGCCCTATTTCTACGGCTTCCACCATGAAGGATTTCTGAGCTTGCGAGTACTGCAATGTCAAAATCTACGATAAATAAAAATGCAATATATTTGTATTACATCAATCATTTTGAATTGAAATCAAATAGTTAAGGATTTGCTTTTGCACGCCTCTAATAACCGTACTTTCTATGATTGGGTTTGAGACCACCATTCAATTCCTACTATATTTTACGAAAGGTGGTTTCTGTGATGCTACCGCCACGTTAAGAAATTGGACTTAACAATTATGTTGTTATATTTCAATTCCTATCCCCATATCTTATATCTTACAGCTTCTAATTTCATGGGGCTTCTATGACTATGGATTATAAGCCTGTGAATACTATGCGGTGGCTCATACTCTATTGGACGAGCCGTGTTTTCGTTTGGTAGGGGGGTACATAAAGAAAGTGTGCATACAATAATATTTTGGTATTTCTGATCCTATTTCTAAGGCTTGTATTGCTATAGCTGATATTCCAGTCGGGTTCCTCTGCTTGCAACTACTTCAAAGTCAAAGTCAACTATCAACGAAATGCAAAAAATTTGCATTACATCAATCATTTTGAATTGTAATAAATTAATTAAGGATTTGTTGTTGCATGCCGCTGGTTACCATGATTTCTATGGTTGGATTTGGGACCACCATTCAACTCCCAACGTATTCTACCTGAGATGATTCCCTATGACACTATCGCCACATAAAGAAATTGGGCTTAGAGTTATGTTTTTATTCCTATCCAATCTTTTATCCTATAGCCTCTATTTCAATGGGGATTCTACTCTTTAAGGACTTCTATTTCTATGGATTCTAGGCCTATTTCTATTGCTCGCTGGCTCATACTCTATTTAGGTATAGTGCTTCTCTTCTATGATTTTGACTGAGATGTTCATCCAAGATACCTTATCACAGTACATAAAGAAATTATGCTTATGATGGACAGGCTGAGCCTTTGGGTCCCAATAGTGTGGGCGGCGTGCAAGGAGAAAGAGGGTGGGGGGGGAGGGGGGGTTCAAAGGGTTTTAATTCTGTATTTAATTACTTATCATGGAAAACAAAAAAAGAGAAAATTAGGAAGATTTATTTAGCGAAAGAGGGCTGATTTGAATTCGGATTTGGGAGGGAATTAGGAAGGTTTATTTAGGGAAAGAGGGCTATTTGAATTTAGAGTTGAGAAGGAATTAGGAAGGTTTATTTAGGGAAAGATTGCTGATTTCAATTCATATTTGAGAGAGAATTAGGAAAGTTTATTTAGGGAAAGAGAACTAATTTGAATTCAGATTTGGGAGGAAATTCGGAAGGTTCATTTAGGGGAAGATGATAGATTTGAATTCGGATTTGGGAGTGAATTAGAAAGATTTTTTTAGGGAAAAAGAGCTGATTTGAATTCAGATTTGGGAAAGAATTAGAAAGTTTATTTAGGGTAAATTATGTTATTTTATTTTAATTATGTGAATTGTGTTTTGCTATAGTTTTTTTTTTTTTTTTTAGTTGTTTCTAGCGGCATCTAGGATTTGTGGAGAGCCGATTTACCTCTTGAATAGTATATCAACTTGTATCTTGGTTTGTTGTGCCAATATATTATTCTTTCTCGCTGATTTCTGCTGTGTTTCTCTTCGTTATTGTTATTTTTGCTATGTGAAGATCGGATTCCTACCAAATTGGTATTACAGCACATTTTCTGGGACTTATGAAAATCTGAAATCTGAATTTGTAGAGCAAATTTCAGCAAATGAAGGCAAATTTTTTAATATGGAGGAGATGATAAAAAAGATGTTAGATTTTCAAGCCAAAGCGACATCAGCGGAGGCAAGAGCGTCGTTGCCCGGACAAGAAAGTGGGGGAAATCCTAAGATAGGGGCAATGAGGGAGGTGAAAATTTTGGAGGAAAAAGTTGAAATGCCACCTTTGGAGCCACTTCCAAGGAGGAGAATGGGGGAAGGATATGGCCAACAAAGAAATTGGGATGATGAAGATCAAAGAGCTGATTGGGGGAGAGGGAAATATAGAGGGATCACAACACCCACTACACTAGAGGAGGAACAAGTTATTCGGGCGGTGGCAATTCTATGGTGAGTAGGGGTGTCAATATTTGACCCGACCCGAAAACCCGACAAGAACCTAACCCGAAAATTTTGGGTTCGGGTCAATCCGAACCCAAATTGGGTCGGGTTCGGGTTAGGGATTTCGACCCGTTTTTAAAATAGGGTTCGGGTTAACCAGGTAATCCGAAATCAACCCGGTTTGACCTGTTTATAATTAATTTAGGAGAGTTTTAAAAGATTGTTATGAAATAAGTAAATAATATTTCTAAAAAATAATAAACATTATTGCCCAAATTAAATTAAGCTAGATTTATTTTAAATTGATTGAAGTAAATCTTACCTTAATTTGATTTATGTTTAAATAAATCAAATTAAATTAAAAAAAAATAGTAAAACATACCCGAAGCAGATCGGGGTCGGGTTCGAAAAACTGGCTAGTTTGAAAAAATGGGTCGAGCTTAGGTCAGGTCGAACAGTTTTGGTTTGGGCCCAAACTCGACCCGTAACCCGATTTTGACAACCTTAATGGGTGAGAAAGTTGAAGATGCTAGTTTTTTAAGGAGAAGATGCTCACGGGTGGATTTATAGGGTTGAACAAAATTTTGTTGTAAACAGGTTGACAGAAGATGAAAAACTCACCTCAGTTGCTCTATGTCTAGAAGGGAAGGCTCTGTCTTGGTTCCGGGAGGCTTGCAAGATTCAAATCAAGAGCTAAATTGGTGACTCGAGTGATGGTCAACGGGTGTGACGCATCACTTAAATGGTCAAACAACCTCCGATATCCAAACAGACTGCGTCGACGCTATCGGAGTGTCGAATTTACCTAAGGAGACCCCTAGCTCGAATCGAGTGAGAACGGTAAAAATCGATGGCTGACACCCGAAAATGACATGCGACTAGGGGTGTCAATTCGAGTCAATTGGTTGGATTCGGGTCGAACCCGACTTAACCTGAGCATAAACGGGTTGACCCATACCTGACCCGTTTAGTTAAAGGTGTCATGATTTCTAATTTGAACCCGACCCACAAAGGTTGCCGGGTTAACTCGACCAGGCCCACAAACCTGCGGGAACAGTTGTCGTCTTGCTGAGTCGCTTGATGCAGAGTCGAAGGATAGTGGAGCCGAGTGAGGCGGAGTCGTATACAGCGGAGTCGACTGTCGAGTGAGGCGGAATCGACAGATGGCGTAGTCGAGTGAGGAGAAGACGCGGAGTCGGCAGACGGCGAAGTCGGAGTGAGGCAGGGCTTGACCAGGGATTCACGCGGACCGGCGGAGTCGACGGACGGCGGAGTGGGAGTGAGCGGGTTGTGTCATAGAAAAGCTATAGGGGAGATTCTTACTTCCCATGAGTGCAAGTACTCATGGTTAATTACCCCTCTTAATATATAAAAGATAACTCTCAATTAAGAATGAGTAATTTTAGGTGTTTTAGTCTCAGTTGTTGGGGAATGGAGATAAACCCGATCAAGATCCCGTGATTCCATCGTCCTGGGTATACCGTAGATTTCAGTCTACCAAAATTAGCATCCGTTGAATGCAATGTTTAGGGAATCTGATTAGCGGTCATAGGTTGCCTTCTCTCAGGGATCCTAAGTAAACTAAAGTGATTAGGTGTATGTTGATTTTATTTAGGTTTGAAAAAAAAGATGGTTTAAGGTTTACATATATTAAAATAGCCACAAATTATTTTGGTTTGGGATTTATAACTTCATTTAGAAGTCACCCAAAATTTTGAATTGAAGCGGGTCTTACGGCTTCTTCTTAGAAGTAACCCGGGTGTTTGAATTTTTGGGTCGGAACTTACGACTTTCATTGAAAGTAGCTCATAAAGCGAGGCTTAAGACTTCTATTCGAAGTAGCCCAGGTGTTTGAATTTGCGTCGGGACTTACGACTTTCATTAAAAGAAGCCTGTAAAGCGGGTCTTACGGCTTCTATTAGAAGTAGCCCAGGTATTTGAATTTGGGTTAGGACTTACAACTTTTATTGAAACTAAGCATGTAGAGCAGTTCTTATGGCTTCTATTAGCAATAGTCCACTAGTGGGTCTTACAACTTAGATCTATAAACTAAGCTGCCCATTTGTTTTGTTTGTTTAGACCTTACAACTTCCCTTAGGAAGAAGTTTGTAGATGGTATAACCTAACTCTATAGCAAGGTTGCCCATAGATTTTGTTTTTTTAGGTCTTCCTACTTCTCTTAGGAAGTAGCCTATAGGTGGATTTTACAACCAAATTCTATAGTAAGGCTGCTCGTAGTTTTTATTTGAACTAGGACTTACAACTCCCTTTAAAAGTTGCATGTTTGTTTATTTTAAAACAAATCTTACAACCTAGCTTTATAAGCAAGGCAGCCCATAGGTTTTAAATTTGATTGTTTTGGTAGGTCTTACAACTTCTAGATTTCAAAAGTAGCTTAGTTATTTTGGTTTTAGGGTGTTTGTACTTTATTTAGTAATTTTCCTAATATATGGGTCTTACAACTTCACTTAGAAGTTGCTCATTGGCAAGTATTACGGCTTTTATTAGAAGTAGCCCAATAGTAGGTCTTACAACCTAGCTCTATAAGCAAGGCAGTTGT